CACCACCTCAAATGCTATGCCGGAGGTCCTTGGTGGTGTGAACAACCCCCGCAACAAGAGGAAATCCTCCACCCTCCCCCCCAAGCTCTTTTCTTCTATGTTGGTTGTTTAACGGTAGCTATATTAAAGACTCCTAATTACAAGTTTCAAGTCAGAGATCTCATTAATCACCAACCTGAGAACTTTACATTGATGAGCTGCCAAAGGCGTGAGCAAATCACTCTAATTACGAGGTTTAGATGCTGCTCTTCAAAACTTGATTAGCTACAGATACACAGGTGATAATTCTTACTGTCGTCTTTATAGCACATCCTCACTATTATCCACTCTAGTCTGATTTAGGTTCTTATGAGAATAATATTATGCTAATTAAATAATCCTGCACAAAGAATACTTCATGATGGAGATGATTAAGTCGGTTTAGATGGTGACTAATACCACAAAACTGTACTATCATAGAATCATTTAGGTTGGCAAAGACCTTTAAGATCATCAAGTTCAACAATTAACCCAACACTGCCATCCCATCACTAAATCTGTCCTTAAGTACCTCATCTGGCCGTCTTTTAAATACCTCCAGGGATGGGGACCCAACCACTTCCCTGGGCAGCCTGTTCCAATGCTTGACAACCCTTTGTGTGAAAAAAATTTTCCTAATTTCCAACCTAAACCTGCCCTGGTACAACTTGAGGCCATTTCCCCTCGTCCTATCACCTGTTACCTGGGAGAAGAGACCGACCCCTACCTTGCTACCACCTCCCTTCATGTAGAAGGAAGTTGTAGAGAGCAATAAGGTCTCCCCTCAGCCTCCTTTTCTCCAGGCTAAACAACCCCAGTTATAGAACCATAGAATTGTTTAGGTTGGAGAAGACCTTTAAGATCTTCAAGTCCAACCGTCCACCCATCAGCATCAGAGAAACCGGCAAGGGACCTACACAAAAAGAAGGACTTCCTCGCTGCCACTGTACATCCTGTGAGCAGAAATGATAAAAAGGAATGAAAAATAAGCAGAGCATTAACAAGCTTAATTTAAAAAAAAAAACAAACTTGCAAGAAAATGTAGCTAAACAATAGAATCTGTTCTCCGAAGGGCTGAAATTACCCCTAGGAGAGAGCCGATTTCAAGCATATTACTAACAGCAGGATTTGCCCCTTCCAAAAGCCAGTAACAGTTCTCACATACTCAACGGGCAGGTGGTTACACTGCCCTCCTCCACCATAGCCCCTGGATCTGAATGCTCAGTGCATCTTTGGATGTATGCATTCCATAACACGTGAAATAAAAAACAGCCTTACAGGAGGCTCTGTTCTCTCCAGCAGCCACGTCACAGCAGCGTTACAGCAGGGGGTGGTTGTGTTTCCATCTTTGTGCTCCCATTTGGTTTTGGGGACATGTTCAGGCAAGCCCAAAGCTCCAGCTGCTTCCCCAGCCAGCGCCCAGGACCTACGTGCTGTCTTTGAAAGGGTTTCTGTCCACCCCTTGCGCAAGCCCTGAAGCATGCACGTACTTTCACTGTTGCCCAATGATGTTTTGTTCTCAGTTATTTCTTGCAACCCACACTTAGAACCAAACCGTGCTGGACTAACCAATTTGGAGCATCCATCCACCGCAGCGTGAGCATTTCAGTCCTTCTTCCTTCAGGGGGGAAAAAAAGCACTTGCAACAGTGATGAAGCCAATTTAACAAACAATTTCACTGAAAACGTGAGGGCGGCCAGCAATACCTTAGTTATTCACAGAGGTTAAAATTTTATTTTGATATAAAAATTAAATAGCAAAGTTTTTGGGTTTTTTTTTTACAGTGATAAATTAGAAATTTACAGTACATACATCAAAGTAGATATATTTTTCTGTACACCCCAAAATAATCAGTGTCTATTTCCTCAAAAAAATCAGAAAAAGGAGCTAACTTGGCTGTTTAATGTAAGAGCTAAGCTTGTACCTCTCCAGCAGATGCTTCCAAAACCTGCAGTGAGAAGAGGACGCACCGGGGGGGCGGGGGGAAGAGGGGAGCAGGGACTGCACGAGGAGGGGAACTGCTGCAAAGTTTCTAGCTGTACAACCGCAGCAACTGCACTTCCGAGACAGGATTAGTCACACATTTTTTGGCTTGAAATTCATAACAGCGTTAAAACGGAGCACATCGGAGTTGCAGATATCTACTCTTCACAACAGCCGGGTTTTAGGCTATCTGCTGTGACTTCCCACTCATACAGCCCCGAAGTGAAGCAAGGTAAATGCATGCGAATCAATACAATTACGGAATGGTTTCATCGCTGTAACAGCTAATTTTGCTTTGTGTTGGTACAATGTTTCCCTGAATGCTCAGGGAAGATGTCCCTTTGGTGTCTCTCTGGTGTCTCTCTGCAGCTGGTGTCTCGCTGCAGCCCACCTCCTCCCCATAGTATTTGCATCCCTCACACTCTTTAATGGAACATCCCCCTGGGTCCTTTGTAGGGGTCCGCAGTGCTATCCTCATCCGACTCACTTCCAAATCACATCTGTCTGTCACAGTCCACGGGGTCACAGGCAGCGATGCAAGGATCTGATAACAAGGGACTACTTAACATTCACTTCTGTGTACATAACATGGTTAAAAATGCCATTTATTGAATCAGCCAGGTCAAACACAGGCTGTATTGGCCAGGAGAGTATCCAAACCATTTCAGAGTGAAGGACACTTGAGTGAACGTGACACCTTGGCACAGCCCAATACTAGGTTAAAAGACAAGGCTCCTACTGCGTCCTCACCCCTTGAAAGTCAACATACAGCTGCTGACTTTACACCCCTTGCTGCACCAGGAGACAGATCGCACAACAGAGAAACTCAGCCATCTGAAGATTTCCTACTTGCAGAACTCCTTGCCCACAGAGGAATAACCAGATCCAAACACAACACTAATAGCAAGAGACTTTATGGAGAGGATTAAAAGGCTCGGCTGGTATGCGGCGTTGGCCAAGACAATGCTTGTGCATCTTGAGGAGAATGTGTCAAGTTGTCACTTGTTCTGCTGGAGAGGGAGCCCAACCACAAGGACTGCAATTAGGGTTTGTTTGGGGTTTTTTTTTTTTTTTTTGTTAAAAAAAAAAAAAAATATGTGCTCTAGCACATGTTTCAACATTGACATTGAAACAATACATGCTTCTGGGACAGATTAATGCTCACGGCCAGAGCTGGAATGAATTGCGGTGTGGTTTGGGAAGCGCATGGGGCACCTGTATGAAAAGGGAGGACTGGGATAAAGCAGTGCCTGTTCTCAGCTGCCCTCGATGGTCCTGCGAGTTGGGGCACTGGGGGGATGCTCCGCAGCTGACCAGGTTCCACACAAACAAACGGAGCAAAAGTTTAGGGCGCACAGATAAAACTGAAGGTCCTTCAAAAGGATAAGAGTATCAGAACAGTGTTCTCTTCAGTACTTCTGGGCTATTTCTATTTGCATCACCTTTCTTATTAGCCAAACAAGTCCCTGGCACAAGGTTTGAGCTACCATGAGCACAAGCCGATGCCTCCTCAAATAAAAGGCTAAGAAAACTCAGCAGTTGCTATGAAACAACATTATTCACCAAGAAGTTGGATCTCTTCTCTTGGGATCCCTTTACAAAACCTGGAAATGTCTTTTGTTGTTCCTGAGGAACGAATGCCTGCTCACATTCTGCATGAAAATAAAGGTTTAAAAAAATAATCTCCATAGCTGTCAGTGAGCGATTGGAGCATCATCGTGGGGCAGTCAGCTGTACTGCGATGTCATGGGCTGAGAATGTTCTTTTAATTGTAACTGACACACATAATTATTCAACTGATCTGTGTGAACATGAGGTTGCCAAGGAACTTAACAATTTGCTTCTCCCCAGACTGGCGTCTGCAGAGATACCATCGCGCTGAACGAAATACATTAAGACTTAATTGCTTCATGCAATGAGTCTCCAGAGACAGCTAGATAAGTTTACTTGGAAAAAACTGGCATTGTTTGAAGAGACCCTCAACTCATTTTTCTCTTCCCTGGCGGAAGGAACCCTATAATGTAAGACTTTAAATAAAGCTATTAAATGCAGCAGAAGTAGTCTGCTGGAAATAGCAGGAGCACCTGAAGGGACAGGAATGGAGGCAGGCGGATAACGATAATCGATGCAGAAGACCATACACAGCTTCCCTGCTCCCACTGATTCCTCTACCACTGACAATGGCCTTGAGTAAAGCTTTGATGCAATTAGAAATATTGATTGAACCACAGAAGAATTCGGTGGGAATGGGCCTAGGGAGGTCCAAATTCCTGCTCAAGGCAGAGTCAACTCTTGATGCAGACAGGAAATAAGTCCAAATTATTTTAGACCATCAGATGACTTCAAGAATCATCCTCACTAATACCTCACTAAATCCTACTCATCACGGGTAACTCTCAAACCTGCAAAGTCCACTCGGTATTTGCTGGAGGACCTGAGCCTTGGCTGACTTGTGTAGCATATGGAAGCAACAGAATTCCCCAGGGCGTAGAGACAGAACCCTCGGCAGGCGCTTCCTTCACGATGCTGAACTCAAAAAGACGACATCTAACTGAGGTCCTGGGTGCTTCATCTTCCGATGACCAGACCCTAAAGCAGCCCAGAATTTGGCCCCAGACCGCCTTCCCTCCATCAGCTTTATGACGATGAAAAGAAAACAACATCCCACAGCTGTGGGCTAAGTCCCTCAGCTTCTAAAGACTTCAGTATATTGCATCCTGCTTTAAAAATAAAAAAGGCAGATAACATGTTTGGATATTTCACAGCTTTTAAAGCCTCCCTGGGCTTTCCTATCTTGGGCAGCATGGTTTATGGCTATTGTATCTGCAGCATGATCTTTTTTGCTCTTTATTCTTTAAGGCTTTTTTTTTTTTTCCATCCCCCAGAGACAGGTTGTGTAACCGTCTCCCTACTCTACTCCCAACATTTCCACGGCACTGCTTACACACGGTCAGTCCTTCACAGAAGAGCAGTCAGACCATCGGGCTGCCGTCCTTTTCTCATACCACGGTCTCGTTCCCTTTCCCAGGTTTCACCCAACCATCTGCTCTCTTCTCCCGTTTCACTTTCCCTGAGTTCACCAGTCTGTTGGAGCACTTCTGCCATGTGTGCAGAGTTTTGGCTGACCAGATCCACATACCTGATGTAATACCCACCAGGAGGGACATGAAGATTTTGAGCATCTCCACTGCCATATTGGAATCATCTGCCGAGTAGCGGAAAACGGCCCAGTTGGAGATTTCGTAGAAATAACAGGCGATGACACACGTTGCTGGGACAGTGTACAGCACCGAAAAGACACCAATTTTGACCATCAACCTTTCCAGTTTGTCAGTTTTAGTTCCATCTTTCTGGAGATTAGACCTGATTTTAAATAAGGCCACGAGTCCTGCTGCAATGAATAAAGTCCCAATGACCAGGTAGGTAAAAAGCGGAGCGACGACAAAGCCTGTCAGCGCGTCTAGGTTCTGGTTCCCCACGTAGCACAGACCGGTGAGCTCGTCTGCGTCTACTAGTCTCATAATCAAAATGACGATGGTCTTCACGGCAGGGATAGCCCAGGCTGCAATATGGAAATAAGAGCTGTGCATTTCTATAGCTTCATGGCCCCACTTGAGTCCTGCAGCCAGAAACCACGTCAGTGTCAGGATAACCCACCAGATGGAGCTAGCCATCCCAAAAAAATACATCAGCAAGAAAATTATAGCACATCCTGTGTTCTTAAGACCTTCTTGGATAAGAACAGGTTCTGCTGCCTCTTCAAAATCACAGGATATCCTTTCCCGGCCCACAGTTAGCCTCACAATATAAGCAATGCTATAAATATTGTAGCACATGCTTAAAAATATGATTGGGCGCTCCGGGTAGGAAAATCTGGATGAATCAATCAGGAAGGTCAGGACTGTGAAGGCAGTTGAGATGAAGCAGAGACTGGCCCACACGGCCATCCAGATATCTGTGAATTCCTTAGCTGACCGGCTGTAGAGACCAGCATCGTAGCCGCACTTCAGGACACAGTTCAGGCTCCTCTTCACCCAGATGTACTGCTCCGAATTAGATCCCATGCTGTGGCACTCTTCTCCTGGCTGCAGGGAGGTCTTGCTATGAAGGGGAACCTCTTCGTCTCCTGGGCCCTCCATGCACATGTGGTTGTGATCATTCTGGGGTGGGAATTTGCTACAGTTTAGGCTGTCCGGCCAGGCAAATCCGAATTCTTTTAACACGGGTTCGCATCTTCTCTTGACAGAGAGGCACATGCCACCGCAGGGACCTATGGGGATGTTAATCTTCTCCGTGCACATCGGGACATAGACTGAACAAAGGAAGAACTGGAAGAAACAGAAAATCACAAGTGCGTTAGGGGAACATTAAACAGGTCAGAATATAACAAGTTTTTGTTGGGGTTTTTTTTGTTGGTTTTTTTTTTCTTTTTTTTTTTTTTGCTTTTTAGCAGTAATATTTGGTCCTTTGCTTTAAAAAGCAGGAAGCAGCATAAAACAAATAAACCAAGAACAATAAAAACAAAGGAAGAAAAAAAAAAAAAACCAACTCTAAAAATGTTGTCTTCCTTCGGTTCAAATGTGGTCCGAAGCCCAAGCCCGAACATTTTACTCCCTAGATTAGCTCCATGTAAATTTAGCCCATCACTTTCAATAAAGCAAGTGGGATTTAGCCAGATCTAAACCTCAAGGGTACAATTTAGGAAAGCAAAAAAACAAATTGAAGCAGTTTAAACAAATACATATATTTGTTCTAGGCACCGCCTGGATATTGCAGCTAACAAACAAACAGAAGAAAAGGCATTTATTGAACCGCTTTGGTTCGCGATCCTCCTAGAAGAATGTCTTTTTTTTTTTTTTACCGTAAGGTCACGTACATATTCACAGCAGTAATAAAATACTGCCGCTTTGGAATAATCGCAATTCTGCGACGCGGCGATGTAAGAGGGATCGCGTGCTAATTGGGGAGCTCTGCCCCGAGAAACAAGCTGGGTTTTGTTTGATGAAATCCATGCCCGTGGGGAGGACGAGGATCTTGCCATTCGCCTGGGAAAGCAACTCCGGTGACCCCCCCGGAGGAGGTCCCGGGCGGCTCCCGGGTGCCGGCCCCGCTGCCCCCTCCTTTGGGAGGGTCGCAGCACCTCGGCTACCACCGAAACGGAGGGGAAG